GAAAGATTTTCCACAGAAAAATGGGCTCCTTGTCCTTCACTTAGAGTGAGTTGTGTGGTGCTAGATATCAGCGGTGCTTCGAAGGGTACCATAGCTTGTTCCGATATTACTCGAGTAAGATAGATATTTTAAATGTTCCCATTTTAGCCGCATGATCCAATCGATTGGCCTTGTATCAGAGCGGTTGATTTGTGTAATGGAAATCGAGATTGTCCAAATGGTGAAGATGAGGAACCGGACATGTGCATGTTTCATTTTTTGGTTCGTTTTAATTTAATGCTAAAACTTTAAACGAATTTCTGTGATGGTAGTCCAGTTAAAAACCTTTCCTGGTGTTGGAATCCAGTTAAAAACCTTTCTTGGTGTTAGAATCCAGTTAAATCACTCACTTTAGATAAACTCCAGCTAAACTATTAACGTTAACAGCTAAACGATTAATACTAACAGCTAACTGGACAGAATCCAGTTAAATCAGAATCAGAACAGAATCCTTTAAAGGGAGATTTATCCATTCAAATTTGTATTTTTATGATACAAATAGTTAGCTTTAAAGTAAAGAGATTTCATCGAGCTTTCAAGCTTTTAAACTAAGCATCGAGCTTTTAAACTTTCCAAACAACACCCATAAAAATCTCAATTTTCAGAATCAAGGATCAGTGCGTCTTTGGCGGACTTTTTGAGATTCAGTGGTGTTACACCGTCGTCAAGAACACCCTCTGAATGGGGAAAATCAAGTCTGAGCCATATACGGGTGAGTTTTGAAGGTAAAACAACAACGACATTAATGATCAATGATCAATATCAACAAATCTGTAAAAAGCCTAACAAAATTATTAAAACCCTAGGGTTTAAGCTAGGCTAAGCTAAGACTCGGCTGCACCAGGAAGAGACAAGCAGCTCAAAGCAGGGCTGGATGGGTCAAGCTAGATCCAGGGCCTGGGTCTAGCTTTGTCTGGTTTACAGGGAAAGTCCAGTTAAAAGCCTTTCCTGGTGTTAGAGATAAACTCCAGCTAAACTATCAAAATTTAACTAAAAACATTTACAGAATTCGACTAACGTTTGGAATGATCTCCTTTTTCACCTCGAATTACTCCAAATCGGCTCTCTTACTAGAATTGATAGAATTGTTGTCGAATTTTCTTTCTCTCTGCACAAAAAGATTTTTGGAATTTGTCGATTTCTTTCTTTTTATTGATTCATCACTTTCTCGCTGAACAAATGCAAATGTTAATCATTCATTGTCCGAATACGAAACATATATAAAAGAACTTCAGAAATGGACTAGAAAGAGTGTGTTTCGAGCACAAAATATACTTCAAGAACACAACTTCTTTGAAACAACTTTGACTTTGAAACAAGAATTGAGTCTATTTTGACTATTTCGTCATTATTGCTAGCTTAAGTAAGCTAGAAAAGATTTTTTCTATTTTCGAAATCTTAAAAGACGACGAGACTTAAATGTCAGCTGCTTGTTAGGCGTTTCCACTGCTTCTTAGGTGTGACAGCTGCTTGTTAGCTATGTCAGCTGCTTGTTAGGCGTTAAATCTTTCCATTTGTTGGTGTGCTGTGGCCAGATATCTTTGTCAAGCAATTTATATTATCAAAGTCATTATAAAGGTATCATGGTAAGCTTTCTGAGTGGTTTGCTCTGATAAAAATTAACAATTAAACAGACAAACAGAGATGAAACCAGCTCCAAATTTTTGAATTTTAAGCCCTCAACCATGAAATTCTAGCCTCAGTTTTTGAAATTTTCCATTTGCTACAAACACTTGAAGTACTCCGTCCCAATCTCGTTCAAACTTACTAATAAAATATTTGTTCAATGGTGTTTTTTGCACCCCGGGACGATCACCACAAAGCAGAGTGTAATGGAGTACCGCAGGCACCTATCTCTACCGAAGACTCTTTGCGAATCCAAAGTACGGCTAAAAAGTTCTCGTTGTAGGTAAAAATCATGTCCGAAAGTTGCATATAAAATGGCTTTATTTTGTCATAAGCTAGATCTTCTATCTTAACATTTCTCTTTCAGTTTCTACGGCATCGGCGAGCTCTTGGAGGAGTCAGTTTGTCACTATTTGACGACGACCGTCGACGAAGTTATTGCTGATCTTTTGGAAAGCAAATATCACGTTGGATGAGCTACATCATTTCTACAACATAAGTCGGAGTATCTTGCATTTTTGTGTTGAAAGTTTAGATGAGGAACATCACGGACAAGCTGAACCAGGATAAGGGACGATTGCGATTAAGAAGGATTAAAATTTGATAATTTCTGTGTTTTTTCAAATGTTACGAGAGCACCAAAACTCCGCCCGTTTTTCGTTTTTTAAAAATTTTTGTCTATTAAAGTTTTTCTTGCATGTAAAAATAGAAATTCTGACAGCTGAAAAATTCGCCTGACTGGAAAAAAGATATTACACTTCGAAATTTGCTAAACTCGAAGCTACGAGACCCTTGTGCATGACGTGTTCTTTTAAAGTGCATTCTATTCGATACTCATCCCCTTTTGCACCCCAACTTTGAGCTCAAATATCTTAATGTTGGACTAGCCAATTTAAATATTCTGAATATCATCGGATGCATATGTAGATCGAATTGCCATTCCTCCTTTTTCCTGTCCCGCTTACCGTGCCTTTCCCCATTCATGTCTTTTCTTGCCTCTGCGTCACCTGTCCTTCAGCGATGGGCAGCACGAGAGCTTCATATCCAAACAGGAACGAAACAACTTGACTTGTGTGCTTTTTGAAAATCTGTTATTGTCTCAAAACTCGTTAAAGATTGACCCGATTCGGGAATATTGGGCCATTATAAGTAAAATCCCAATCAAATCCACGCGATCCGCTCGAATTTGATTGGAGAAACTTGAGTGCCATCTTTTTGCTATCTTTTTGCTCTTCGTCTTTCTGCGAGTCTATTTTCGGATCACTCGCCGTCGAATCGAGGGGTGGGGTGAGACGGAGGCAGGCATGAGCCGGAATGAGCCCCGGAGGAGATGAAAAAGGGGAAAACTGATAGTGAATGAACAACCCCTTCTTTCCTTTAATGAATTCAGCCGCTTTTTAGAAGGGGGCAGGCAGTTAGATTTCTTTTTCAAAAAGTAGCTTTTTCAAAATGGCATTATAATTCGAATTGCTTGCAATGGTATCCGTTCAATCCTGCAATGCTATCCTGCAATGGTATTGCAGCACGGTCCTTATTTAGTTCCTATAAGAGTTAGAGAAGAAGAGCTGAGAAGTAAACTCTAGAAAGGCTTGGTTCCGTCATAGCTTTATTTCATAACTTTGTTAGTCTTTGCTGAAAATGAAAGAGAAAAGGGGTTCCTTTTTGAAATTTCATTGAGACAAATTGGCCCGAGGGAATTTTTTTCTCAGGCTATAATCATAAATATTGCTAGGAGCAAAAAGGTTCCCACCGAAAAAGAACACAAAAAATGGATTTCACATTCTGCTCTCTTCAGTTTTCTTTCCTTTTATTGGTCATCCTTTATAGTTTTTCCTACAAACATCAGAGTGTTGGAAACGAAGAAAAAGGTAAGTATTATGATCTATTCAATATATCCATTTTCACTAGGTCAATTTTGACGTTTGAGACGCATCTTTTAAGAAAAAGACGTTTGAGAGGCAGGAAGTAGGCCTGTCAAATTATCGCGTGCCAACGTAGAATATCGGGTTTTGACCCCGTAGAATATTTGTTGTTTCGCGATTGATGGATTGAATTATAAGATGAGTAAAAATAAGGAATAGCTATAGTCTGCCAATTTGCAGGTCTTTTAAGAGACTCAACCATGGGCCTTGAGATTAACTATATTTCGAGTTGGTAGAGACAATGCAAAGCAGAGCTTGTCTCAAGCCATCTCATAAATAATACTAGGGACCAAAGGGTCTCCTCAAAAATAGGGATGCACATCACTTTGGATACTTCTTTTTGCAACTCCACCTTGCCTAGGAGCAGCATCTGGACCAAACACCGACCAAGACAACTTTCTAATAATAAGACTAGCTCCAAATATGTTTGGGCTGGGGACGGAAAGAAAATTTTTTCCAAAATACACAAAATTTAGCGAGGTCAGGATCGAGAGCTGCACAATGGGTGCAAATTGAGATTGGAAAAAAAACCCTTGTCGAGGTTGCTAAGGTAAAGTTGGCTTCGACATTGAGGTATCTCGCCTATGGCGATTCACTTATTGTGATTATTGATTCACCACTCCACCAACCGCATGAGCCCACCCAATTTTTATAATAATGTAACCGACTTATATTCCAAAGTTTAGATTGACAAACCTCTCGGGCTCATGGTGATTGGTGGAGTAGACACCCCTTTGGGCGCATGACCACCATCGTCACTCCAAGACAATGATCTTTAACTTCCAAGAGTTATGCTTAAGTAAGAGTTTGAAGTCCTGTTATGGCGTTAGGTAGTTTATTTTGGGTTAGAGTTCCAATAGGATTTATTTCTTTGGGTTATTCAGGGTTATCTTGTGATACCTTGTAGCATAAGTCGCTCGTTCAAAGCCCCAAGTTCAAAGATTTCAACTGTGAACAAGACTCGCGGTTAAATCTTTACTGTGAAAATAATAACTCCTAGATGTCAACTGTGAACAAGAATCGCCCTATTTTCCATATCGTTCTAATCGAATTTTGAGTAGAAAGATATGGAAGGATTTTAATTCGATTTTCTATCTTTCTGTCTTTCCATATCTTTCCAATCGATTCCGTATCTTTCTAAGTGTCGAAAAATTGCTTGTTGTTTTATCATAAAACTCCAGATTTCCATAAATCTGATCGCTTTTAAAAACTTTAATTTATTGTGATTGGACATTGAAAGAGGGTGCACAAAACATATAACATAATGACGAGGCAAAAATAACACAGCTCTTAAAAATTCATTCACTGATCTCACAAAAACTGAGAAGTTTGCTTAAATGCAGATCGAAAAATAGAAAAGCTCTCGTTAGAAGGGTTAGGAAGGATTTATTGTCGGGCAGGTTCTTCTGATTAAATTTTATCAACAGTTTCCGCGATCTTCCAGCGTCCCAATTTTACTGTCAACTTTCCAACAAAAACCTAGGTAATTCATATTAAAAATTCAGTAATCTAAGCCAATAGAAAATATGAGGTAAAAATTCTCACCTTCAGTATAATTGCCAATTCTTCTTGGGTGTGAGCAGCCACGTCGTTCCAATTGACCGCAAGAATCTAAAGTTTGGAAGCTATATAAGCATGAACTAATTAAATATGGAGTCGAGTCGTCGCTAGTCAAACCTGGTCTCCGATAAAAACTCGACGACTGGCACCAGCCGTTCCTCCTTTGAAGACTTTGCTTACATAGACACCTGAGCCACATATTCGACCAGAAATCATCAGGCCCAACCCTAAGGTCTGGCGTTTTATTCAAACTGAAACAAATACCTTTTCCTCGTTTCTTCACAAGTTTTACTTCACAAATGTCATAGACCTGAGCGGGATCACCAAGCGCGTCTTGGAGATTTGCCTGTCGATATATCAGAAGGCGCACCTAAATCAACAAACCATGATGAAGACAATTTACTGCAAAAACATTTACATTAAATTTCGCAGGTGTCCGACGTAGAAACGAGTCTGCCCACTCCTGAGTCACCCCACGCAACGAGAGCCCGTTAACCTCAAAGGGTTTTTTCAATTTTCAAAGCGCTATTTTTCACCTCTAGAACTTGATCGCCCGGGCGAAGACGTCCATCAAGGGCAGCCGCTCCATCTGGGAACACATCATGGATGACCACGGCGCCCAAAGGGGTGTCTACTCCACCAATCACCATGAGCCCGAGAGGTTTGTCAATCTAAACTTTGGAATATAAGTCGGTTACATTATTATAAAAATTGGGTGGGCTCATGCGGTTGGTGGAGTGGTGAATCAATAATCACAATAAGTGAATCGCCATAGGCGAGATACCTCAATGTCGAAGCCAACTTTACCTTAGCAACCTCGACAAGGGTTTTTTTTCCAATCTCAATTTGCACCCATTGTGCAGCTCTCGATCCTGACCTCGCTAAATTTTGTGTATTTTGGAAAAAATTTTCTTTCCGTCCCCAGCCCAAACATATTTGGAGCTAGTCTTATTATTAGAAAGTTGTCTTGGTCAGTGTTTGGTCCAGATGCTGCTCCTAGGCAAGGTGGAGTTGCAAAAAGAAGTATCCAAAGTGATGTGCATCCCTATTTTTGAGGAGACCCTTTGGTCCCTAGTAATATTTATGAGATGGCTTGAGATAAACTCTGCTTTAGCCAATTGTCTCTACCAACTCGAAATATAGTTAATCTCAAGGCCCATGGTTGGAGTCTCTTAAAAGACCTGCAAATTGGCAGACTATAGCTATTCCTTATTTTTACTCATCTTATAATTCAATCCATCAATCGCGAAACAACAAATATTCTACGGGGTCAAAACCCGATATTCTACGTTGGCACGCGATAATTTGACAGGCCTACTTCCTGCCTCTCAAACGTCTTTTTCTTAAAAGATGCGTCTCAAACGTCAAAATTGACCTAGTGAAAATGGATATATTGAATAGATCATAATACTTACCTTTTTCTTCGTTTCCAACACTCATCATGAATGTTTGTGGGGAAAAACTAATAAAGGATGACCAATAAAAGGAAAGAAAACTGAAGAGAGCAGAATGTGAAATCCATTTTTTGTGTTCTTTTTCGGTGGGAACCTTTTTGCTCCTAGCAATATTTATGATTATAGCCTGAGAAAAAAATTCCCTCGGGCCAATTTGTCTCAATGAAATTTCAAAAAGGAACCCCTTTTCTCTTTCATTTTCAGCAAAGACTAACAAAGTTATGAAATAAAGCTATGACGGAACCAAGCCTTTCTAGAGTTTACTTCTCAGCTCTTCTTCTCTAACTCTTATAGGAACTAAATAAGGACCATAAACCAAGAAAGAAGGAGTTTTGAAGGAACTTTATACTAAATAGGGACTATCAAGGAGCTTTCAAGGAGCCTCTAAGGAACTTTATACGAAAAGGAGCTTTCAAGCAGCTTTCAAGAAGCTAGATAGCAGGACCATAAAGGAGCCCCTTCCGCCGTCTGCTCCCTCTCATCGGCCGCTAATTTAAAGCCCCCTTGAAGTTCCTTTATAGTCCTTCTTTATTTGCCATAAAGCTCCTTCAAAGCTTCAAAGCTTTGTTTAACATTTTTTAACAAGAAAGAAGTGAGCAAAGAGGTTTTGGATTACCATCAAGCAAGGCAAGTTTTACCTGATTGTTCTCTTGGGGAAATGTTGAAAAACAAAGTAGTTTTGTTTAACAAAGTAGAAAAAGATATTTCTTTCAAGTTTAAAAAAGAATCCAATAGTGAAGGCAATGGAGATTATAGAGATCAGCCTTGAAATAATCGAGCTCTTTTTTTGGTGGGTTCGAATCTCCAATTGCGAACTGTTTATTTTTAACAATGAGATTTCAAATAGTTACAATGTTTGTTTATTTGTCACTTGAATAAAATGAACAAAGCGCAATGTTTTCTAGTAAATAAAAGTAATAACTGATACAGTAACTTCGGCAATGAAGCTGCTTAGTCAACTAAATCAAAACTAAAAATTATCAAATGTCAAACTAGATCAGGTCTCATAAACCTCTTTTACATGTACATTTGATTTGGGGGATTTGTAGCCCGTCAAAGTCGGGATGAGAAGGTCAAACAAAAGGAGTATAAAGAAATGAAGATGAGGAAAAGAATTTCCTGAAAAGAACTTGTAGTGCAAAAGCTTTTGAGATTATTCAACTCCATTTTGACGAGTGACGAAGCATCTCCAGATGATTTTGAGCAAGCATTCTGAAAGATTTTATTTAAAAACATTATTTTATCAATTTAAAAGACATTTTACAATTAGCGTTCCAATATTTGATTGAAAATTCATGTTCGAAAATTGGATTAATCGTTGAAGTATACTAACAACCTCTCATCATCGATTTGCCGTGGAACTAGCGCGTTCGGATGCATACAATACCGTTAGATTGCTGTAGCATCTAAGAACTAAAGTTCAATCACCGTACTTAAGTCAATTTTTCGTCTCTTTGCTTCACTCTGCAAAACGTCTAACCGTTTGTTTAAAATTTTTGGTCAATGGGTCAAAAAGAGGTGAGCAAAGAGGTTTTGGGCGGAACTAGCTATGGTACCCTTCGAAGCACCACTGACACTGATCTTTTTGCTATTTTTGGTGCGAAAAAGTTACAGGATAAATTCCTATTAGGATCTCCGACGTTCAGTAGGTCACTTAAAACACGGAGATCAGCAAATGCAGCAATACGTTTGTAATTGCACTACTTTTTTGAGTCCTAAAATAAATGATAAAATACGAGCTAGTCTAATTGTTGAGCTAGCTCGAGATGGTCTAATGATTGAGCTAGCTAAGTAAAAGTACACGTAAGCAACCTAATTCGAATTTCATAAACACCATTTTCTACCAGAATTCGTTTTAGGTTGCTTCGAAATCGAAATCGCCAAGCGAACTTGATCTGGAAATCTTGGTATAAACATCTTTTTAATTTGAGGAGAAAATAATGCGCGTTTTGAATTCAGCATCAGGAATTGAAAAGGAAATTCAAGCCAACTCATGATTCACTCATGCTCAATTCAAAAAAGCGGCTATTTTGGCTCCAAAAATCCTCAATTTTTGATTGATGGAATCAGGGATTTGGGTCTAGGCTTACTTATGGATATTATCGAAATGGCATGCTTATGTTTGCCCGTTCAGATCTCCGCTTCTAGAACAGCAACTGTTCTAGAAAATTGTTTCATTGGAAAGTCAAGAATATCAGCTTTTGATTGCTATTTTACATAGCAATATGTAATGACTAAGCAGCTTAAAATCGATAAGCTTTCGATATTCGATAGCTAACTAAATCGTAACTCCGATCAATAATTAAGTAACTATTTAAGGCACTCAACCCAGGGGGTTTGGGGGGGGAAAGAAAATAAAGCCGTCAAACACTCGAACTCCCAAAAAAAACTTTTCGGGTTGAAAACCGGTCAGAGACCAAGGCCTGGGCGGTCAAAGATGAGATTTAATGAGGGATAAACGCCGAAGATGGGGAAAAAGACATCGATAAAAATCAAGAATACCTTACTGATTGATAGTTTCTATTTTCTAGAGCTTCAGAGCTCTATAGCTACTAGAGCCTCTAAAGCCTCTAGAGCTTTCAAAGCTTATCTAGAGCTTCCAGAGTGTTTCTATGTGCTTAGGTATCAAATTAAAGTAGAGAGAATAAGTGATTTTTTGAGATATAATACATCTTTTAAGCATTAACCAGCGCTTAGAAAAAATTATTAAAAGATGATGATACTCAAGCGCCCAGAAACAGTGTTGTGTTGAGATTGATTTGCTTGAGTGTAAACTTGGACCGCGGTACCTGTGGAGTATTCGGGGTTCAATGTATCATTGGAAAATATCAATACATTTCTCACAATGTTCCAAAGTAAATCTTCGTATCTGTTTGCTTCAACCGTTTCTTTTTCTGTGAAATAAAAAGCTTTCCGAGAATCAATGATCATCAAGTGAGCTTTTCTCTCCTTTTTCTCCTTTTTCTCCTTTCTCTCCTTTTTCTCTTCTTTTTCTCTTTTCCACAAATTTGTAGCAATTGGCGGGTTTCCAGAAAAAAGAATTGAATTTGTCTTTCAAAGAATTTATATAAATGATAACGGTTAATTTTCTAACTTGAAAACGTTTTCCGATCGTCAACTTGTAATAAACTTAGCTGCTTTATCGACTTTGCTAAAGAGTGACTCAGCCAGTAGATGCTACAGTAACCATAACTATAGACACTATCGTAATCCGTAACCAAGTTACGCGACGTTACTGCCTTGCAGTACCAAATATTTTCCACCGTTGACAAGCTGGCATGATATCACAGCTGGATCTGATCACATTCTCTCAATCGTGGAGATTTAGACCGGCTTACGATATTCCATCCAATTCTGTAGAGTACAGTCATTTGCTCTTAGATTTGTGTAACTGTGTATTCGGTTATCTTGAAAAATTAAAAGTTTTATTTCACAAAAGCCATGTCTATATACAGTGTTGGGAAATAAAGAAAAGAATCGAATGGATGAATGGATTGGGGAAGGAGGGAAGGGAAGCAAAGAGAGGGAAGACGAGGGAAGATGAGGGAAGAGGAAGAGAGGGAAGAGGAGGGATGAGACAAGCGAATGCCTATATAGAATTCAGAATTGGGGAACGGGGGTCAATGCGAATCAATTGGGACGTTTAGACCGGCTGAAAGGACAGTCAAACGAATGAAATATAATTGCATGAATATGATTGCAGACTTTGCCTGTCTCTCCGTCCGGCCTCGTCGTTTCTTTCACACAAAGCAATTTTAATAGAAACATTTTTTTTTCATAAATATACAGAATCATCAACTTTAGGGTGACTTTGGGATTGTGATCTAGATAATTTATGAAATAAAAGCAATACTTGTAAACTATATTATGAGTTTACAGTTTGAAATCAGTGCCAAACGCGTTAGATGGAGAATCTTTCTATAGCTCTTCTTTCTATAGCACTCAGAATCTTTCTATAGCTGTAAATTCGCCTACAGCTTCATTTTGTGCTCGTAAACGCACTACTTCTCGTGCACTAGTCTTCTTGCGAAAACGAGCAGTTTATAGAACAAAAAACTATGAAGAGTGTACGTTTGCAATTTTCGAAAGAGTAAAGTCGAAATCCCAAATCACCTTCACATTTGATGAATAAAACAAATAAAACATAGTAAACAAAACAAAAAACTTGCATTTAAAATCCCCAAAAATAAAAAAAATGAAAAAATGAAAAGAAAATGAAAAGAAACTCGAAAAAGAAACATATGCGCCTATTAGAAATTTCTCAGCTTTTTTTTTGAACGTATCAGAGAAAAAACACAAGGCATAATGGAAATTTTTGTATAAAAGGAATAATTTACGAATCGAATAGTAAAATGAAATTTGAAATAGAACAGCAAATTCACGGGATAGAATGTACACGGTTTTGTTGTTCTTGCTTTTGATGATGATGAATTGATTCGAAGGGGATTTATCAAAAAAGGAATTTCGGAAATGCACACACGAACGCACACTGGGAATCGACGAACAGGCCACAAATAGCATATCATATGTAGTTGATAGCGAAATTATAAGTATAACGAAAATTTATTGGTGATTGGATGGATTAGGCCAGCTTAGGTCAAACAGATCAGGATTACGGTAGACTAGGCTGCTGGAGCCAGACTAGGCTGGAGCTAGACTAGGCTGGAGCTAGACTAGGCTGCTGGAGCTAGACTAGGCTGGAGCCAGACTAGGCTGCTGGAGCCAGACTAGGCTGCTGGAGCTAGACTAGGCTGCTGGAGCCTGACTAGGCTGGAGCTAGACTAGGCTGGAGCCAGACTAGACTCCAATGCTTCAATGGAGTCAGACTAGCCTCCAATGCTTCAATGGAGTCAGACTAGGATCCTAGGCTAAGCCAGGCGTCAATTAAATATCTGTTAACTTGTATGGAAATTTGAGATATCCAATGATAGATGTGAGGATGATTTTCCAATCGATCTAGAGTTACCAATCAAATCAAATGAACCA